CCCCAAAACCCCAAAACCCCAAAACCCCAAAACCCCTTAATAATTAGAATATTTGAAATTTATAATAATTAAAAAGATGTTTTCCAAAGTGAATAGTCAGCCTGTGAATCCTGATACTAAATCATTGTGGATGGGAGAGATCGAGCCATGGATGGATGAAACCCAGATAGCTAACCTTTATGCTCATGTAGCTAAAGTTCTTAGTGTAAAAATCATAAAGAGTAAAGTAACTGGCCTCCCAGCAGGTTATGGCTTTGTTGAGTTTGAAAGCCATGAAATGGCAAGGAAAGCCAAAGATCAACTTAATGGAACTCCAATTCCTGAACTTAATAAGTAAGTCCAGATATGCTAACTATATAGGACTTTCAGACTAAACTGGGCATCACAATCGGGAGGGTCATCAAGACCTTTACCTCAACACGCTCCTCCAATGGGAGCTACTAATCCGATGCATGGTGGAGAAGATACTTCAGGAGACTTCTCTGTCTATGTTGGAGATCTAGATCCAAATGTAACTGATTCTATTTTATTAGAGCATTTTTCAAACAGTTATAAATCAATTCTAAGTGCTAACGTAATAGTGGACTCAATTACCAAAAGGAGCAAAAAGTTTGGATTCGTTAGATTCAGCAACCAAGAAGATTCACAAAGAGCAATTGCTGAGATGAATGGGCAATATCTTCTCTCAAGACCAATGAAGTTAAATGTTGGATATAAGAAAATCACTCAGCAATCCCAGAATCCTTCTTATGGTAATGGAGGAGGCTCTTATGAACAAAGCTCTTATGGAGGAGGTGGCTATGGTCATGCTCCTGCACCCTCTTATCCCCCTACATATTCTCAGTATAATGATCCTTATGGTTCTAGCAAACAAAATCATGGTTATGGAAGCTATTCTTATGGTAATCCTGATCCTTATGCAAGTTCTTCTCAGTATGGATATGGTAGTTATGGATATGGACAACAACCAACAGGAAGTGATTACTATGGTAGTTCAGCTGCTAGTTCTTATCCTCCAGCTCCAAGTGGAAGTTATGATTATGGAAGCCAAGGAGGATCATATCCACAGTATCCGCCAAGCAATACTTATGGGAGTACCTCTAGCTATCCTCCTAGTACTTCTCAGAGCTATCAAGGAGGAAGCACAGCACCCGGATACCAATACGACTACAACTATCCGAAGACTTCAACTTATGACTATGGTATGAATCCCCCTCCTCCAGCTGCTGAAGAACCTGCTGCATCAGCAGCTCCTATTCCTGCTTCAAAAGAAATTGACTATGACATTGGTGACGAAGAGATGATCCCTATCTATGACGTCCAGACTATAGCATCCGCAAATGAGGAATATTTCAACTCTTTAATGGAAAGCAAAGGATCAGTCGACCTTTTGCTTTAATTTTGTAGAGATTTCAATAAAAATATTGAAAATGGGGTTTTGGGGTTTTGGGGTTTTGGGGTTTTGGGGTTTTGGGGTTTTGGGG